GAAATTAGCTTTTGAAGCATTTTGAATTTTAAAGTAAATTACAGTATATTTTGTTAGGCATAATAAAATTTAGCACTTTTCTCACACAAAAAATTAAATTTTTTTTTCTAATTTTATTACAAAAAGCTCATTTCAGTAAATATTAGGGAATCTAATAAATAAGCCATAAAATGTTTAGATACCTGTGAGCAGTAGTTCCTGAGAAAAGGTACATCGAATATAAAAATACCACGTTTGGAGAAAATCGCCTTTTTATGTAAAAATCCTCATTGATCAAACCAGTAGATGACAAATTAAAACTAGATTTTTTTACAGTTCTAATTTTCATAGAGATTAAAGAATGGTATTTTTAGAAAGATAACAGTGTAGAGAATTTGAAAATGCAAAAATCCGAAATCACAATTTTTTGAAGGTTTTGGGGTTCCAACACCCCTTAAAACTAACGTTTTCTACTGCATTTTAAAAATAGTTCATAGTGAAAGATACTCCCAAATTCAAATTTTCATATAAATTAAATATGGTATTAATTTTGTTTTTAGCTTTTATCCCGCGGTAATATATCGTATAGTATACAATTTCTTGCTGAAGGCATTATTGGTCCTTGAATCTTTGGATCTATCTCAAAATTTCATGAAAGTGCTTGAGACTGTCGAATAGCTTATAAACAATACCAACAAATTTCAAAATATTACTAGCTATAAAAATAAATATTTTGTTATACTGCTTTATGTATTTACGATGGAGTTTATAGATTATGTATCCCATGCATCCCTTAATACCTTTGTGATGTATAACAGTGTCATCTTTATGAATTTCCTGATACTACTAAACCCCCCAAAATATCTGTTTTCTGCCTTTCACCTTAGTTGATAAATATGATTAAATGTAGTCCTTATTTATTGAACAAAGAAAGAGATAGTGACCATCTTCTTGGTTTTTGCACTCATAGCAGACTACTGATGACTATTTTGATTAGGAGAGACTGACATAGACTCAACCTTATCCCTCCAATCACCTTCTAACATAATCCTTTAAGCCTTTCACGTATCCTGCCACAGCAGAATAATTCCTTTCATGGGCGGAAAAAAGAATGTCCAAATCCCGACCAAAACAAAGACATCACGCCCGTAGAAGTCGTTAACCCTAAAATGTGTCTTTACGTTTGACTATGCTGTCCGGTCGTCGCACGAGCAAGACATAGCTCCTCCGTGACACAATGTGTTTTACAGCTTTCAGGCTCCGTCCTGATTTTATTGCTTAGAAATGTTTTATGACTTCAGATGCCTTGTTGGGAACGTCGGCAACATTTTCTCGATTAAAACCATCTGCTGGAATCGGTTTTTATAGCTGTTTTGTTTTCACCAATCCATTGGATAAAATGGCGTTGTTTGCTTTTATCGCTTACCCTGTTTGTTTAAATTCTATTTACTGTTAAAATACTTTTATAACGGATTATTTTGTAATTTATTGTAATGCAAGTAATCGTTAGTTATTAAAGGAAGTAAAGCTAATTTTATTTACCTACTTAATTTTGTCGACAAGTTCATGCTGAAAAATCGTCTATTTTATATTATGAATTACCCTTACCTTAAAAGACTTAATATTCTTTCAGATAAGATAGTTGGTTAATATTTGCATTTTTAATATATTACTTACATTTTGAGTTAGCAGTCCATCTATAAAATATAAGGAACAAAACCTTTCAACACTAGGAACATTAGGGAAGATGCCAAATCCTAATAAGTAACGCTGATTACCAACACATCTCAGTTGATTTTATGAAATATAATCTGCTTATTGAAAATAAATTTTGTTAAATATTATGTGTTTACTAAAAAATTCCATTTAAGAAATTTAAACGGGTTTTCTAGTTCTTTTATGAGAGTGATGCGTACGGTTATATATTAAAAGACTAATAAAGAGTAATAACTTTCTTCGAGCCACAACTAGCCTCTGAATGTATGGCTATTTCTAACCATTCTCTTACTTGCAAGACTGGACATCTGAGGGCTACTACACACGCCTTCAAATGAAATATCGCGATAAAAGACTACTTTTGAAAACCATTTCAGATATATAGAAAACTTAAGAAGTGAATAAAAGAATGCTACAGTGCTCCAGAAGCTCATTTCTGTGAAAGCAACAAGAGTTTTCAACATTCCAAGAAATACTCAGCAATAGAAAAAGCTCATATCGGAGATTAAAGAAAGATGGATTTTTCCCTTTTCAAATCTCAGTTATTTATGAATTCCATTTTAAAATATAGTAGATGCACCGTGCAGTTTTGCCATATGGTTGTTGAATAATTTATATTATTATTATTTGATGCCTAGGAAAAAAACGAGGTATTATTCATTTAATGAAAAAAAAAAAACATGTTTTAGCCTGTTGTTGAATACATTTATAGTATTATAAAATAGGAATAAATAAAATAAACAAAAAATCAGAAACAGTTCATAATTTAACAGTCACCCAAAAGGGCACAAGTTTAACGTGGTTTATTGGTAGAGATTATCAGTAGAAATGGCGCAGATGAAGTAGATAAATATTTTATAGGATAGTAGATGAATACACATTTTGACTAACATGGGAACGTTATACATTTTCTGTATATGTGAGAAGTTCAAATGTATACAACGCAATTCTATAAAAATGCTAAATGTTTTTAATCAAAATAAATGCCTTTTTATTAAAATGAATCAGATTAAAATGAATGAATGTAAAAATAATGACCATGTTTCACTTTGTTAGCATTATAAACATACAATTAATGAATTTTTAATGATACCTAAAATACTTATTCAAAATTTCTTTTAACGTGAAAGACAAAAAAGCCCATTTATCATAGCCTAAGAATAATACCACTATACCATCAAACATTGATTTTGAAACCAAAAAAATTTGATGTGTACAACACATGACTTCCTTGCACGGGATGTTAAATTATACGCAAACTTCTTGCTTTTCTTTTAACCATATTGAAGTAACGGTTAACGAATTTTGAATTAAATCTACTTTGTCGATAGCGCATAAACCACAACAGAATAAATGCACACTTTAAAGTTCACTATATTTATGTACCATAGCGACACTTTGACGCTACGTTCACTTAACAGCATTAACATTCATTTTATAATTCAGAGTGCACACAATTATATCATCTGAAGAGTTACCACAAGTTCTATTCAAATACTGTAATAAATCTAAAACAATGTAGAAAAGAAATTGAACAAATAGAAAAAACACTGCTACTAATTAATTCAGTTCTCACTTCGCGGAAAGGCAAAAATACATAAAAATTCAAATATTTTCATTAAAATTTGAATTCAAATGTTTCAATTCAAATATTTTCATTAAAATTTGAAAGCTATGAAAAACATATAACACCAAATACAGTTAAAACAATTTAAAAAAAAATTTTTTTGCAATTAAAATTACAGTTTCTACGCCAAAACAAGCTATTAACTTAAATGCCAATTCCAGAATGAATTAAGCATAGTTTAATTCGCAATAATAAAATAAGACGTTACTTTTTTGTTGCGAAACTTGGTTTCTCTAGATTGCCAACAAATCCATTATTCTGCTAAGTTTCAAATGTAAACAAACATGGTTGCCATAGAAATCAGAAGTTAGGCTTAGCTGCACTTAAAAGACTTTTAAGTTGTTGATAATTCCACAATTATTGCATGCAGGTTGACTAAAGCATAAAAATCGTAACTAGAACAACATAATTCAATCATTTTTAAATCAAAAAATGCACAATTTACAAGCATATAAGAATAAAGAAACCGACCTCACTGACCCGAGTAACAGAGTGGATATATATATATATATATGTGTATGTTACCGTGAAAGACCAAAATTGGGGAATGTCGACTTTCACCGGAGAATGTCGACATTCAGCAAATACGTCGGTGAAGGATCGAATATTGCATTCTTGTACATTCGGACCCTCACCGGTGTATATTGACAATCACAGATATGCTCTGGTATAGGTTGAAAAGAGAGGTCATAAAGTGTCATAATAGTTTAAGTTGTTGCAATAAATAAGATTTGAATCACATAATTTACTAAGTTTTTATTACTATTATTTTTCTCATTTAGAACGTACTGTATAATTAAGTAAGTTTTTAACTTGTATTATTTTCCTTTCTCATTTTGAATGTATTGTGTGTTTTAAGTTTTTATGTTTTTAAGTTCTGATTTTAAGTCTCAAGTGCGTTTTTTCGCGACTGAACTACGGAGAAGAAAATATAATATTCTTATATGTTCAACATTCACGATTAGTACATGGTGAATGTCGACATTGACCGGTGTAAGTCAGAAATAAGAGTATTTGGAAAATATTTCGGACCTACACCAAGCCACTATGTGAATGTTGATATTCACCGGTGAAAGTAGACATTCTCCAGATTTCGTCGTTTCACCGTAACATATACATATATATATTTATATACTTTTGGTCGGGCTGATTGCAACCAAAATGGCAGGTGCACATCTACATGTTATAGAAGTCCTATGTGAAAAATTTCAACGTTCTGAGACTACTCGTTTTCGAGTTATGCAAGATACTAACGTATGTACAGACGCCACGAAAAAATCTCTTCAGAATTCATTTTAAATCAGTTTTATAATTATTTCGAGGGAAACGAGTTATTTATTCAGTCTTTAAATACAAATGTCAAGGAAAAAACATCGTTAAATTGCATTTGATAGCGGTCTAAATGGATATTTTCGTTGAAATATGATACCCGGAAATTTTCGCGATTACAATACTTCATTTTTACTTCGCACAAGGAAGTAAAAACCGGATTCACTTTTTACAAATATGTTCATATCCAAAGGAAAGAAGTACAAAGAATTTTTGAATTTACGTAGAAGCTTAGAATTACGCTTTAGAATTTACGCTTTAGAATACTATCTATAGCATTCAAGCATTACTGACAGAAAAAAATAGAATGGAATAATTTCATATATAATAATTTTTCTTCCATGTATAGGTGAGAGCTATAACAAGTATAAGTGGAAGTGGAGTTTTCAGCGAGCTCGTTATCAGAGCTGATGCAAGTGATAATGGTGCCGTCTACCGCTGTGAAGCCATCAATTCAGCCACGGATAAGCCTTTGATAGCCAATATAAAACTGACAGTTTACTGTAAGGATCTCTTTATTATCTCTACATTTTCTTAATAATACTATTATTCTTAATTTAAAAGCTTTCTTACTAGTATCCTAGAATATTTTAGTGAGATTATCGTCATTTCTATTTTATTTAAATTATGAAAGTTAAGATGGATTGGTAGTGGTTATTTATCAAGAAACTATTTACAGAGAATCGTGAAAAATAGTTTAAATTTAGAGTGCGAAGAATTCGATATATTTGTTTCTTTCATTTGTAAAATTTTATACATAAAACCATTTTTAGCACCATTTGTTAAGGAGCAAATTAATTTTTCCCGCTGATCGTTCTTTGTTTTGTTGTATTACTGTATAATGCAGTTATTTTTACGTTTTGCTTTGCAAAGAGAAGCTGGAGTTGGTGCAGTACGGACTTAATTCTTTATTCTACGAAGAGTTTCAAATGGCTACCTCGTTAGGCTTAATGTCACTTAAACTTTTAAATTGTTGATAATTCTACAACTATTGCATTCAGAATAACTAAAGGCATAAAAACCTTAACCAGAACATAACAACAATATAATTTAATCACTTTTAAATTTAAAAAAAATGCACAGTTACCAACATATAAAAAACTGGCCTCACCGGGGCAGGTAACAGATTGGCAATATTATTGCTGTATACAAAATTTATGCATACCAGTTCCATGTATAAAAGTTCAACGTTCCATATATGCATAACAGTTCCATATACAAAATGCCAACGTTCTACAACTACTCGTTTTGGAGTTAAACGAGATACATACCCACGTGTACGAATATAAAGACGTCATGAAAAAAATCTCTTATGAATCCATTTTACAATCTGATTTGGAAATAAAAAAGAGCGCTTGAGTCCTTTATTCTGTCCAAAAGTACAGATGTCGCGCAAAAACCTTATTCAAATGGATTCGAAAACGGTCAAAATGGATATTTTCTCTGAAATATGATACCTGAAATTTTTCCCGATTACAATAATTCCTTTACTTCGCAGAAGATAGTAAGTAAAAATGGGATAGCCATTTTTATTTCCATAGAAAGGTGAAATAAAAGTAGGGAATTCTATTATTCAAATGCAAGAAATTGAAATCTGTTTGACTGTCAACCGAATTCAATATGTGGAGTATAAAACTGGAAAAAAATATGAAATGAAGAATGAAACGTTAGATACAGGCTGATTCGGGCTGAAAAAAAGAACTTGTTTGCTATCTGTAATGAAACCTCTAGTTCCGTAAAGAATTATTGGCCCTAGGCACAGTATTGCCTTTATATTTAAAATACATCCTCCTGCGTGTCTATAAAAGTTCATGTTTCCAGTCACAATTTTTATTATCACGAAATAGGCAGATTTAACCTAGAGATATTATATAAGTAAAGTGCAATATGCAGAATATATAAGTTTTCATATAAGTTTACAATTTTTATTTCTTATTTCAATTTAATTTAAAATTGAAAGTTTTTTTTTAATCTTTTTATTTTTTTTATCTTACATACATGTATGAATATACTTACCTTTTTTGAACTATTAGTACGTTTAAAAAAAATCTGATGACCGAAAGGAAGGAAGTCTAGACTTCCTTCCTTTCGGTTATCAGATTTTTTTTTGCACGGATATAAACATTTTATTTAAACTAATTTCCATTAGAGATATATTTTTGATACAATAAATTCAGTTCTCACGTCGCGGCAAGAAAAAATACATAAAACCTCAAAATATCTTTATAAAAAATTAAAAAATACAGAAAAATGTAAAACACCAAATACAGTTAAAACAATTAAAGGAATATTTAAAATTAAAATCAGAGTTTCTACGCAAAAACAAGCAATTCGGCCAGCGTATAAGAAGGTAGATTTTACGATGCACCAGATGAACCAGCTTACGTTTGGTACCACTCGGCAAAAATACACTAAAGGAGCAAAAGCTGACGTAACTCACTATTCTACTAAGTTTCAAATGTAAACAAATATGGCTCCTATGGTAAAAAACTCTGACTTGTACACCATATCACTTTCTTGTACAGACTATTAAATTATACGTAATTTTCCTGCATTTCATTTAAACATACTGAATTAACAGTTAACGATACTTGACATATTGAATTACATAACATTTCGAATTAAATCTACTTTCTCGATAGCGCATAAATGACAATAGAATTAATGCATTCGTTAAAGTTCACTATATTTATTTACCATAGCGACAATTTGGCGCGAAGTTATATTAACAGCTTTACATCTCATTCATTTTATAACTCGGAGTACATAAAATTATATCATGTGAGGAATTACCACGTGTTCTATTCAAATATTATAATAAATCTAAAATGATGTATAAAAGAAATTAAACAAAAAGAAAAAGAAACAGGCTTTCGCAGACGATTCAGCACCGCTTACCTAATGCCCATGCGTTACCAATTAATTCAGTTCTCACATCCCGGCAAAGCAAAAATACATAAAAATTCAAACTACTTTTATTAAAAACTGAAAGATACAGAAAAACATAAAACATCAAGTAAAGTTAAAACAATCAGAAAAACAATTTTACCAATTAAAATTACAGTTTCTACACAAAAACAAGCAATCCGGCCAGCGGGATAGAAGACAGATTTTTCGGTGCACAAACCTGAAAGTTTACTTTTGGTCTCACTCGGCAAAAAGACAGTGAAGGCATAAAAACTGCCTTAATTTGTTGTGAACGCTATGCTGAGTCAATATATGGGTTAATTTAATATATTAAATGATAATTTCAGAATGAATTAAGCATAATTTAATAGCAATACTTAAAGAAGACGTTACTTTGTGGTTTGTTTGAAGCTTAGTTTCGTTGTTAGACTTTGTTTGAAGCTTAGTTTCTCTAGATTGGCAACAAATCCACTATTCTGCTAAATTTCAAATGTAAACAAATATGTCTGCTATGGTAAACAAATTAGACGTAGCCGCACTTGAATAACTTTTGAATTGTTTATAATTCTACAACTATTACATGCAGACTAACTAAAGGTATAAAGATTTTAACCGGAAGATAAGAACAACATAATTCAATCATTTTTAAAGCAAAAATGCACAACATAGGAACATATAAGAGTAAAGAAACTGAGCTAACTGAGCTGAGTAACAGAGTGGATATATATATAAATATATATATAAATAAATAAATATATATATATATATATATTTCAGCTCAATGCGCAAAATTCTTGACCACAAAGGTCATTTTTAGTTTGTTCTCATTTCTTATATTATATACATGTATTTATATACCTTTGGTGCAGCCGATTGCAAACAAAATGGGAGGTGCAAATCTGCATATTATAGCAGTCTTATATACAAAATTTCAACGCTCTTAAGCTACTTGTTTTTGAGATGTGCGAGATACATTGATACATGCGTACGTTATGTACGTACGCGACACGAAACAGATCTCTTCAGAATGTATTTTAAACAGTTTTATAATTTTGGGGGGGTTAAAAAACTCCAAAAAGTTTAAATGTATCACACACAACAATTCACGATCACGTAAGGTTTGGTTTATTGAGATTACGGCAAAGCACACTAGGGATATCTGCCTAAGGGAAGGGATACTTTCGTGGAGGACTTTCTAAGGGAAACTGAAATACACGTTACACATGAGGAAAACCACGAAAGCGCCCATGCAGCCAGCCTGTTCGCGAGATTCGAACCTCGGAACGAACTACCAAATTTTTTGGAAAAAAAAAAAAAAGTCCTTCATTCTGTCCTTACGTACAGATATCACGCAAAAACATAGTTAAATTGCATTTGACAGCTTTCAAAATAGATATTTTCGTTGAAATATGATACCCGAAATTTTTCGCGATTACAATACTTCCTTTTTACTTTATACAAGGAAGTAAAAAGCAACTCTTAAATTTTTCATAATTCTACAACTATTTTATGTAGATGAATTAAGGACATAAAAATCTTAACCGGAACATAAAAATAAAATAATTCAGTCATTTTTAATACAAGAAATATACAATTCACCAATATATAAGAACAAAAAACAAAAAAAAAAAAAAAAAAAAAACGAGCCCACCTAGCTGAATAACAGAGTGGGTATATATATATATATATATATATATATACACTCTTATTAGAAAAAAAAAAAAAAAAAACGACCCACCACGACGCACCGAGAAGATATAAAGCAAATTGGACATAAATTGATATGCATACAGGTTTCGACGGAAAATGCAAAATTTTACATTTTGGCTGCCAATGAATGAATTATTGTCGCTACAGCGCATCTGATCTGCGCAACTGGCAGGGTATCTAAGAGGAGAAATTACCATTCCAGGTCATAAATTCTTCACGAATTTCATTCCGCGTACTCTGGTAGACAGTAACTATGCCTCGCATACAGGTACGCGAACGATATGCGCAGATGTCAGAATTTGAAGAGGTCGTGTAGTTGGGCTCAAAGAAGCCGGTTGGTCTTATCGGCGAATAGCTCGACATTTGAACAGGAGCGATGCGACTATTAGACGATGTTGGCAGGAATGGGTGAACCATGGCCGCACACAGCGTCAAGAAGGAAGCGGTAGGCATAGAGAAACGGCAGAACGACCAAGCAATCGTCAGAGCGGCACTCACAGCCCCAGATGCATCATCGATTGTACGTGCAACTAGTGCTTCAGTGTCCGCAAGGACCATTCATAGACGGCTCACAGATCCCTTGCGCCGACTATCATTGACCTCTGTACAACGTCAAGCCCGTTTGCAGTGGTGTCGGGCTCATTCGCATTGGAATGTCACTGACCGGAGTAGAATAGTCTTCAGTGTTGTGTCCCGCTTTGAAATGATTCACGATGACCAGCGAAGGCGAGTCTGGAGACGCCCCGTACAGCGGTGTGATACCAACCTGACTATCTTCCGGCAGACAGGCCGACAACCAGGAGTGATGGTCTGGGGTGCCATTTCATATAGTAGAACCCCTTTGGTTGTCATCCTTCGCAACCTTACAGCACAGTGGTACGTCGACGAAGTTCTAAGGCCCGTTGTGTTGCTCTTCATGTCACGTCATCCCGGGCTTGCATTTCAGCAAGATAATGCCCGCCCCCACACTGCACATGCTTCTTCTGCTTGCCTTAGTGCTTCCTGAACATTACCTTGGCCAGCAAGGTCGCCGGATCTCTCTCCTATTGAGCACGTTTGGAGCATTATGGGCAGGCCCTCCAACCAGCTCGGAATGTTGACGATATAACGCGCCAGTTGTACATAATTTGTCACGATATCCCTTAGGAGGACATCTGCAACCTCTATCAATCGATGCCAAGCCGAATAACTGCTTGCATAAGGGCCAGAGGTGGACAAACTGACTTTTTCATTTTGTGAAGCTCTATCACTTCAATAAATCATCCAATTTTTCTCAAACTGTAATCATTTGTTTTTCTGTACATGTGCATCATTTCTACCGATTTTCGTCCCATTCGGATAATTCCTTCTTGGTGCATCGTTTTTTTTTTTTTTTTTTTTTTTTTTTGTCTAAGAGTGTATATGCGTTTGGTGCGGCCGGTTGTAACCAGAGATGAAAATGCACAACTGTATGTTATACCAATCCTATATACAAAATTTCAAGGATTTGAGGCTACTCGTTTGAGTTATGCGAGATACATGCATACATACATATGTACGTATAGATGTCATGCAAAAAAAATCGTTAAATTGCATTCGGTAGCAGTCAAAGTGCATACTTTCGTTAAAATATGGTACCCGAAAGTTACGCAAACACAATGCTTCCTTTCCTTCGTACAAGGAAATAAAACGTCACTCGGTCTTGCACTCTTAGATGGGAAAATTCGAAGAAGACGTACTACTTATTGCATAATTCTACGGTTATGCAATAGACTTATGTCATTGTAAACGATATTTTGAAAATTTAAGAGATACTCTTTTAAAGAGGTCTACTAAGTTGCATTTTTTTAATGTTCGAAATACCCTTTGTAGTGCCTGCCAATAGATCTCGATCTCGATGAACTCAGGAAATATCTATGCTTTTCTACTTGTTAGAGGCTTAACCAGCTAACAGTATGGGCTATGTTCTGTTTTGCGTAAAATGTAAATATGATAAGTCTGATCAGTAGCATCATTCCTTAGATCCTATATCCGTTTTCATAATAAAATATTTATGCATTTATTAAAACTGAGATTTATAGAATTATAGATATTATACATTTGCTTAATAATCAACTTGAAAACATGCTAAAAATATAAAATATTCTTCCTATCTTGATATGAATTCCCTTAAGAAGTTAAGAAGGTAATATACCTCTCATAAGACTTTATTGTAGCTGAAAAACGGCTTTAGAATTAAGGTGAAAATATCTCTAATGATAGTTATATGATCATCATATACATCCATCTTTCGGCATGTCACTTCAGACATTACCAAAATAATGCAAGGTTATTTTAATGTAAAATTTTGTTATATTAATACTCAGTCTATTTTCATGTTCTATCTATTTCCTTTTAAATCTATAATTCTCTTTTTTTTTCCAGTCCCCCCATCATCAGTTACAATGAAAATCACACCGAATAAACCTAGAACTGGAGAATTGGTAATTTCATCTTTCTTTACTTTGTTCTTTCTGTAGCTTATATGATTCTATGAAGTAAAAGTAAGCTCCAAAAGCAAAAATAAGCTCCAAAAGAAGAGAAAGGAAAATAAAAATGATATATGTTCATATAAATATTACTTCGTAAAACAGGCATTATAGGCAAATTCTCGTAGTAAAATATCTCACCAGGGTACTATTCCAGCGCGTTTAAGATGCTGCAGGATCAAAAATAGTGTACCATTAATCGCCAGAATACTTTAGGATCTTTTTCTGCTCTTAGATATTTTGTATCGTACCATATAGCGAGCTTAGCAAATGTGCAGCTATAACTGCTTCCATAAATTTCCTACTTTGACAATTTAGATGAAACGTATATTTATTAGGCTAAAATAGATTAAGAAGAAATTTTTGAGAAAGTGCTAGCTTTTAGCATAATCTTTAAGTAGACATACACAGTAGGATATTTTTTCTTAAAGCTATTTCCTTACTGGGTATATCGTTTTCTTATATTCTACTTTTTTAAAGTTTACTCTAAAGTTTAATAAGTAGCAGACTTAATATCTTTTAAACAATTACTCGGAGACTCATGGATTTGAAAATTATGTGAAAGAAGCTTACGTTTTGGTACTTAAACAGGTTAACGTTATGTTTATGATTTTAGCTCCGATTTATGTTGTCATAAGTCAATTTTGGTCACATGAATTTATTCTGTAAAATTATGGAGAATATAATTTTTAATTTTTGGCCGAGTTTCGATTAGTAAGTTTCTTCTTATCACATACAGATCTTTCTAGAAACGTCTTGGCTTCCCTGCATGTAAAGTTAACCCTGAAATTCATTTTTAAAATCTTAAACCGTTTTACTAATTAAAATGCAAGCCAATAGAAGACAGTTTTAAAAGCCATGCAACAAATGTTAAATTAATTAATTAAAAAAAGTTTCGAAATTTATCAATTTAATCACGGCAGTTTGAAACCGACATTAATACTCTCTTTTATATCGTACGTGAAAGCTGTCATTTAAAATTTCGTATTCAAAAACATATGCTTGCATATTTGGTTTTAGAAATATTTGTATACAGCCCCCAATTTTTAATTTATGCTGTCTCCAGTAATTTTAATCGAAACTTTATTTTTAAAATTTTCTGTGCTTTGCTTATTTTGTTAGGAAATTTTTTCCACTCTAATCATTTCTGTTTCGTACACTTTTAATTAAATATTTCTTGCAACCAACAATATTGTAATCTAAAATTCAAATTTATTTATTTCATTTCTTGAATTGGAACTTCGGGTATACCAGCAGAACTTCAAGATATATTGATTAATACAGTCTTTTAAAAATATTGCGTATAAATACTTGAGGATACTCAAGACAGTTTAGAATCTTTTATTTATTTTAAAAATTACTGTGCGAAAGATATTCACTTAAATTGTAGAAACTAGAGAAAAATTCGGTAATTTTCAGTTAATTTTAGATAATGCTCTTACGTCTGGAAAACTACTTGGTTTTTAACTGTAATCTTGCAAGCGACGGATATCGTTTAAGCTTTCATTTAGCACCAAACAATAAAAATTTTCAGTTTCATAAATCCTTACTGTATAAGGATGCCATGTCTGAATAGTTTTGCTGTATACTTGAAGATGTTTATAAGCTTCTTTCTACATATTTGTTTTAATTTAATTGATTTATATTCGTTTTCTAAAATAAAATGTATGAAATATATGAATAATAGAATTTTAATACTACATGAAATACAAACATTAATCGTAAAAATATCTAACAATATTTTTTGCTTTAGGATTACAAGATTATCATTTAGAACATTAAAGATTATGAAACAGCTTAACTGTATTGAAATAAAATATGTTTTATAATAATGTTAATAAGCATACACAACTTTAAGAATTAATTATTTAATACCTCGCCAAAAATAAAATATTTCTTAAAGTTATTCAATCAAGAAGAGACAATTAACGTGTAGTTTTATTTTAAATCCGATGCACAAAAGATGTAAGAATTTATTATCCACATGGGAAATCTGTCTACTTTTTTGAAGTAATTTCTCTCGTTTTAATCTCTCTAGATGTTGATCTCATATTTGAATTAATAAGAGGACTATTTGAATAATTTTGGGCTAAAAAACTTTGGACAACTTTTCAGCTTGAATAAAATTGTGTTTAGAATTAACCAAAAAGCGCAAATTTACTATTTTTAAGATTTTAATTAACTTTCTGTTGATTCCGAGAGCGATTACACAGGGTCACTCTTCTTCAGGAACTAAACAGCTTTGTTTAAACGTTTTTGCATTACGAAACCCATAAGAATTTAAGCTATTTTTACTAAAAAGAATTTAAGCTTTCGAGGTAATTTTCAAATTAAAGAAAGACGACAGAAAAATTAATAAAAACAATAAAATGGGTAATAAAAACTTAAGGATACTTTTGTTCGTAGCTGCCTTCACGAAGATTAAAAGAGCAAATAGTACCAATTAACTACAAGACACTAAGTGAATTAGATCATGAACGTCTTACTCTGCACGAGACAAAGGTAAATTAAATGAACCGACGACTGTGAGTATGAGAATAAAATAACTCTGTGAACTCTTTTTTTTAGGAGATCAATACATATTGTGGAAGATCTTTCTGTTATAGTGGCATAAGTTGAGTGAGAAATAATTGTTAAGCAAAGCTTTTAAAATATATTCAGTTAATTACTTTGATATTTACTGACAACAAAACATTAACAAATTTTTATGATCTTCCTTCCTCTTAGAAAAGAGATCATAAGAGCATAGAACAACTCAACAACTCTGAAAGATACTTTTTCTTTCACATGGAGACTTTGAGTTAGAGGAGTGGTTACCAAAGAATGGATTAGCGCTGTAAATCTGGTTATAGGGACAGTAGTCCAAATCAATTTGTTATCAACGAATAATTTTAAGTCCTTAATAAAATTTCGTTTAAATTCTGGGCCGAAAACAGTACTAGATAATAGTAAACATGCTGCATGAATATGCAGGTTTTTTTCATTACAGTTTAATACGAAGATCGCTTTAAATTGTGGTTATCTCTCAAGAATTCAGCTCAAAGCGGATGAGTAGTCGGGAAGAGTTCATTTATAATCAGGATACCTCTTTAATTTACGTCAGTATACCTCTGTATCAGTTAAGCTAATGTGAGAAAATTTATTTATAACGTGTTTTGTAATTAATTATGAAAAAAGAAAAACATATACTAGATTCTAACACCCATTATATATGATTGTTTTTTTCGCTATAGTAACCAATAAAACTAAATTCTGAAATAATTATTTAAGACAAATTTTGAGTAATTATCTTTCAAAGTTTCAAGCCAAAGGGTTAAATTTAGTTCTTCATTTTGGCTGTTCTTATAAGTACTGAAATTACAGTTATAATAAATGGAAATAAAATATTATAATAAATTCAGAATAAAAATAATAATGTAACTAACAGTTATAATAAATTGAAATAAATTGTTAGTACAATAATAATAAATTCAGACTAAAAATAATAATATAATAAACGAAGAATAAAGATAGTAATATAATAAACAGGTACAATGAACTTAAGAAAAAAAAATTGGAGTATTATGAGGAATTAAGTAATACGATGTAAATAAAATGTAAATAAAGGCTGATGTAAAATAAAGGCATTTTGATAATCTATTTCAGCTAATTTTTATAGTCTTTATTTATGTCTGCTTGTTATAGTTCCCGCTTTTCTAACATAACTTTAAGAGTAATTTAAACTTAAAATATGACTTATGTACAATTAACAGGTAATCCTATTGCTCATAAAGTAAGGATCGCTGCCCAATATGAGTACGCTTTCTTATTGGTTGTCTCAAGACAATGTTTAAATATTAATTTTTATGAATAATTCAATAGTTAAATGAATTACTGGTAAATTAAGGTCTTGTAGCTCATTTCGGTCCAGCATGAGTTACAGTTAATTCAAAATGCCAGCAAAAAGAATCATTTTTACATTTAATATGATGGTAATGGAATTGATTAGGTAACTGAAATATGATGCACCATTTAGTATATAAACTCAATATTTAATTCAATATTTAATTCAAGTAACTCAAATATTTAATTAAAAGTTGGCTATGAAAAATATTACAATAACAAAAATTATATAAATTATCATACATATTTGCAAGAAATACATTTCCTAAGATAAAACTTCTTTCTTTCATTTTCAAGGGTAAAGTTTAATTACTGCAAACTCATGTACAAAGATAAAATAAATTTATGCTTTACAAAATTCATTTAATTGCTGAGTTAATGCATTTCTCTTAAAGTTCAAATGACAATGTTTAATATGTATAACGCCATTTTAAAAACAGCTCTTAATTGAGGAATAAAACTATACACTCATGGACATACATTCAAAATGGTCTTCGACAGTATTTAGCAGTGTCTACCACTGTGTAAAGATTTTCAATAGCGAACAAGAAAGTCACAATAAGTTAACCCAGACTGATGAAATTTTATAGTTGATTTTGGTAACACGGACCACATGCTTTCAGCAAAAATCATAAACTCTTAAAATGTCATTCATTATTAAACAGTACAAATAATTGCACTCATTTTAGGTATATTTTTATTTCTTCATTGCAAAATTTGTGATTACATATTTTGTTTTATAATTACTTAGTTTCAAATTTCATTTATGACTTTCAAAAAAGAAAAATTATATTATTTGCGAGGCAATATTTACTTTTCTTTGATTTAGAACTGTTATCTATGTAAGTAATATTCATCATTTGAATGGCTATATATAGACAAAAACTAAGAAATTTAGAACCAGTTTTATGCAAAGACCCAATAGAAGTTAAATTCAGTACCAATCAATTTCAAAATACCCTATAAATATGTAAAATAAGAATTAAAGAAATGTGAAACTAAAACCTAAAAATTATAATTTTGTTATACTCTAGATATAGATATGTACTTATTTAAAGTTAAGAATTTTTTCTCAAAACTGAAACTGGGAAAAATATAATGAATATGTTTCTGAAGTGCTAAAGACTTTTTTTGTGTTATGTATCAAATCCTGTTAATTTTTTTAAGAAATTTCAAACACTTATCTCCTTCTACTCTTGTATCTCTCGAAATAATTGAATTGAATATTGCTTTTGATATTTTACTTCACCAGTGTTTAAAAAGTATTATTAATATATTGTTTACGAAAATAAGAAGATTTATATGTTTATCGTTGTATTTGTGAACTATCGGAGCGATAAATGTAGACTCATAAAATTTTTATGAGTGTATGTTTTGCAAAATTATTCTACTACGACGAAGTGCTTCCTAAATTTGGCGAAGCATAGACTCATAAAATTTTTTATTGATGACTGAGCACCACAGACACATTTCTTTTCAAATAACGCATACAATGTACAACTCATAAAAGATAAGATCTGATATTCTGCTGTCTATCGTTACATGAATCATATTTTGACAGCTTTGGGAATTTTGAAGGAAAATTCTGTTCAAAGAACTTTTAACGTTCCTTATTTGAATGAGATATAGAGTTTATTACCGAGTTACATTCAACTATGCAGTATGATTAATGAGTTAATTAAAGTTAAGGCAGTTTGAATAAAATGTTATGATATGTTTGCATCAGTGAAGCATGCCATCTGATGGATAATGAGAAAAGTTATATGAAATAAAACAGTTAACTGATTTGCATAAATGCATGCATTATTTTGAGTGCTGAAATGATATACTTATATATATATGTGTGCGCAAGATATAATAAAATACGATGGCTGTGCTAAGAAACGATTGGTGACCTCAAAATTAACTATCCTAAATTTGGTATTCTCCCCCCCTAAATTCATCTGTTCTCCCAAATTCGAAATCTTTCTACGTTACACAACAACCTAAAATTAACCAAGCACAGCTTAGATATACTTTATGCCCCTACTTAGTACAAATACTGCTCGCAAGCAACTAAGTCATTCATTTCCCTAGCTTCCGCTATGCCAACATATCTATACTGCAATGTCCCAATTTGTTCTTATTCTAAGATGACGTAACTTTTATATAAAAATTATTGTACTTGCTTATGATCAAAAAGTATATTGTCTATAAAGAAATGATTCTGATGTGTCTAAAACTAAAGATGGTAATTCTCTGAATTTAGTTTCCGTCTACATCTTCTTCCAGTCATTCCACTCAACCATTACAACTGCAAGCTACTAAAAGTACCAGCGCCTTTATTTTTCTTACACACACACACATATATATATATTAAAATTAAAGCTCAGATTTAGAATCAGATAGACAAAACTAAATTTAACATAAAATGCTTCTCTTTTATTTTTCAGTCTTCCTTTAATGTAGGCTTCTGAAATTTTGACATTAGGCCTACTTATTCATAAATAAATTGGAGCTATTTCTCTTTCGAATTCATTTCAAAATATATAACGTATTTTCTCCCTCCTTTCCTCATGCCTTGGAGGTGTAACTGGAAGCACACTCGATGCATAGTCGGAATGCCCGGATTTTGAGTCCCGACGAAGGCATCGCAGATGTTTCACGTCTGCTGCTTCAAAATAACTTAATGAATCTACAAGTGCCCACCGAACTAAAAGGTGGTGGATGATAATTTGTTGCCACCAGGATTTGGCAACTCAATCTCTTAATCCCTAGTCGCCCTTTAAAAGGGGGATTATATAAAGTATTTTCTCCCTTCTTTCCGCATACCTTCGTAGTTTAACTGGAAATACGTATATTCAAGAGAACCGGAGTTCGAGTCCCGGTGAGAGCACTGCACATTTTTTACGTCTCCTCTTTCAAATCAACCTAATGACTCTAAAAACTGAAAGCAAAAATATGAATAAACAGCAAATATATGTATTCCAAATATTTCTGTTTAATTAAATACAAATGTAATTAAAATATAAATACAGTAATGAAATTTTGAACAATTGCGATATTTGTTTCGAGTTAACATTTGTTTTCCTTACCTTCTAATTCATTTACTTTTTAAATATAAATATATCGGCTTCTACTTGTAAGAGGTTACAATTTCAATATTCCCTTAGGTAAGCATTTTATGCGATTCTGGAAGCAGTAATCCCGAATCCACCCTCCACTGGTGGAGAAACGGCGAAGTACATACTGGATATGATAGTGAAATCTCCGAAGCCATCTACGGAGGAAAGTCCACCCATAGCAGGCTTGATTTGACAGTTTCGTCGAAAGATGATGAAGCAGTCTTCACCTGCCAAGCCACTAATCATGTCTTAGAAAGAAGCGTCCATGAAAGCGTAACTCTAAGGGTTTTTTGTAAGTATTTATACCAGTATAACATAAAGTAACTTAATTTATTTTACTGTACACATTTAATCAGACATTGTTAAAAGAGGCATTAGGGAACTATCTTTCCACTTTTTTATCTCTCTCATTCATTAACAGGGAGAAATAAATAAATTTTAAAATGTTGATTCTTGTCTCCTAAATGACAAATCCAACGTGTCAAAATAAAAATTTTGCTAAATTCTTTAGATATTTATGCATTCATAGTCAAAACTTTTAATTGCTAAGTTTGGAAGTTTTAGAACTGAATTAGTATTAAACTGATATTTTAGTGAAATGCTTTTATGATTATTTAGTTTTCTACTTGCATTTTTAACACTGTGTACTTCTTCGTATGCTCAGCGAATTTCTCAATACTTCGTACAAGCATAGCTTAGGAAATAAAATTGGGCAAATATGGCAAGATGTGAAATTTGCAGAGTAAGACGATAATTAGTAAATGTTACATTTTCAATCAAAAGCTTGGGGATAATTATAATGTGACCCGAACCAAGAGCCCGGAGTTATAATTTCCCAAAACATTTCATAATTCCTTAAAGTACTATATGTTCACCATACAAATATCGAAATGAAGTACTGTTGTTTCTGAAAAAACGGCGTATCTAGAGCTCAGTCTACGTCAGTTGAACCGAAGTAAAAGAACAGCAAGAATTTTACAGAACAACGTCTAGCCAACGCAAGAAATGCTTGTCTGCGAAAGTCTTCGTGAATTATGGAATCTGTCTTTTCAGAGTATGTGTTTGATTGTATGTGAAGTCTACATTTTCAGAGTTTGTTACATTGCTTCTTTGTGTACATTAGAAATCTGACTTTTTTACAAACAAAACTTCTTTGTTTAGTTACTTCTTGCTAGGCGAAAGATCCATCAACAGATTTTACTCAGAGCTCCCGAAAGCGTCATTCCTCTTGCGCAGGCTAAATATTTTTCACTCATGCACATGGTAGTCGATTTGCTTTTGGGTTGTAAGTAAAGCCTAAATATTTTTTGAAATAAAGCATTGCTTAAAATTTTTCGTTTCGGTTAGGTTCCTCTTCACTTTTCAGCCTTTGAATTCGTAACAGTATATAACAGTTTCACAAATTCAGATAAAATTTGTATTTAAACTCATTCCTCTTCGAAGACTTTTAATGGAAAGTTGAGATTTGTTAATAAACATTATCAATGAATATTATTCATCCAGCTTTCTGGAAACTATTAAAACTGGCTTTACTAAAATCCTTAACAAGGTATGCGACGTATAAAATCATTCAGTGCTTTAAGATGAATATGTTTCAAACAATTTAAACTTCCTAAATTAATCTAAAATAATTCCTTTGGTTTATTGCATGAATAATCAAAAGATAAAATATATTTTTCTTTTTTTGGCAATTTTACCGCTGAAACATTTAGAAGAGAGAATTATGCGGTTATATTATTAAAAATATACGAAATTATTACTAACATTACTGTAGTATGTATTTTAACGAATTCAATTATACTTAATTTTTTCACTATATATCCTTTTTTCATTTTCATATATAAAGTATCCATTTATTTTATATTAACCAATTATTTTATGTTAACGATCTGTCTTTCTCACTTTCGTTTTCCTGCCAGAATGCTAATTTCTAGTCTGCGTGCATTCAAATGAGATAAATGGTATTTAAAGGAAGGTTTCTACGAGTAGATGGTAAAATGATTTCTTCATACTCCGGACCACATTGCTAGTTAATTCTCTTGAGAGCAGTTTATCTGCGACGTTGCGTTATTCGTTATTCTCGCCGTTAGGCTTGTCAACCCGGTATTAGGTTTGAACCAACTTGCGCGTTTATTGTCTGTGTAGCCTTTCGGGCTAACTATAATTTACTTAGTTAAATTCAATTCTTTACCTTTTATTTACGCCATAAATGCCGGTTGGTTAAGCACAAGCTGTGCCTTCTGGTACGTTATCTGAGTTTAATAAAACTTTCTTTTGTACCATTTCCAAGTGTCTGTTGTAATTTCCAAGACATAGCGAGAAGTCGCTCAAGACTTCAGAATTCTCACTCAGTCTATGTAACCAAAGAGAGCGAGGCTCTATACACTGTACGTTTACCACAAAAATTAAACTTTGCATATCACTATTTTACATTGTTCCTCTTAGAATTGTATTCATGCATTATACAGTATTGTTCGGAAGAAAACACTTTCCGAGATCCAGACATATTCTTATTCGAAGCAGCCCAGCATACATTAATTTAGTTCATTGGATCTGTAGTACAGAGGCCATCATCGTATCCAGAGAGAAAAAGTGTGGCATAATGTTTTGTTAATTATAGTTCCCTTCGATAAAAGTCTCGTGAGTTTTTATCGTTCTTTTCTTTGTAGATTATTCAAGAATGCGAAGCCAAACAGCAATTGCAAAATGGTATCCCAGCATATCATTGCTGAGCACTACTATAAAGAAATTTGCACACTTGCAGTCAAATACTTTTGAGTATTATAAAGATGCCGACCTTTCATGACGGCGAAAAAAGAATTTACTCTAGCATATTCAGAATACTTTTCTTTAAGGAATCGATGATTTTATGAAACCGGTCATTTTGTGAAGAAGTTTCTTTTTTTAAGGTTCCACGTATGAATCTACCCTTGCATCTATATATGGACTTGAGGCGATAAACGCATGCCCCTGAACTGTCGGCTATGGAATAAAATGTAAACTGAACTATATACGTATTCATTCATGATTCCCAGTAGAAGCAAAATCAAGTGTGCATAATTTAAAATTTGTTGTTCTCATCGAAAAAATATTTCTCATAAAATACAAAAGAGAAAACTGCGAATATATATTTATGCCTTTTCATATATGGGTAATATGATCCAAGAATTACTGCTGGTACGTGAATAGGATAACACCGAATGCCATATATAACAGGGCATTCGTTTAATATGTATTATTACATTTAAGTTCATTTAATAAATTATACAAGGTGAGACGTTATCATCATTACTGAAATACTATCAGAGTAATATGAATATTAGAACAGTTGTCTCAAACTGGCGGCCCCTGAAGCAATTCAATGTGGCCCGCGAAGACATTTCAATTATGAATTTGAAGCAAATATTCCAAAGAATACAATATTTTAATTATTTTATGCCCAAATTTATATTATTTTCATTCCCATTAAAAATTAACCAGACTAACGCATCAGAAAAGCTATAAATGGAGATAATTAAATTACAGTATGAAATAAATCTTATTCAAAGATTTGAAGATTCGTATTTAATTAAATTTCATTCGCACTTGCCAGAAAGTAAATAAGTTCAACTACGAACTTTTGCATTAAGAATAATATCCTTGTTTGGATATGCATTTATATGTGAACAGCTTTCTCTCACAGCTGAAAATTATAAGAAAAGACCCTATTAATTGATGAGCATCTGAATTCCGTGTTAAACATAATTTCTAATAAATTCTTCCAAGGCTACATACGTTATCAAAATCAAAGCACCATCAAATGTCGAGCTGTAGCAAGGAATAAAAGTTTATAACTATTTATATACAGATGTGCATTTTTATTTATGCCTCGAAGATAATTTAATAAATAAGAGAAAGGAATTAAGTTGTCATTATTTATTCTCAAGTTTTGTCCTCCTTGGAAACTTTTCTCTAAAAAAAGTAAATTTTTCATATTTTTTTTCAATTTAAATTACAGTAAGTTATTTAATGGTTAATTAAATAGGTTACAACTATTTTAAATAAATGGCAGTCTGAAAATTTAATATTTGCTGTCAATATTTTTGAATTACAAACTCTAAGCAACAAAAATGCTTTTGCAGGTATCAAACTTTAGATTTCAGATTGAAAATGAATATGTTTGAATATTTTTCCTTGGCGACATTATTACTGTTTATGTCCGTTTCCAAAAATATTTAGTAAGAGAAATTTAAAATGTGTTTAAAATAATTTATTTTTTTTTATAATTTTTTTTAATTTTGTTAAAAAAATGTGGTCCGTCAGCTGTTTACAGATCGCTCATGCTACCAACGGGCAATTTGAGCTTGAGGTCAATGACATTGCATACTGCATTGTTACGCAAATAAAATAAGATTGATTATATGACAGAAATTATACTAGAATATACTTTCTCTTGCACGTATGAAACGAAGAAATTCTAATATTTTAATTCAATCCGCAATGACGAGGTTGAAACGAAGAATTGAAATTCTTGAGTTATACAGCAGCGCTCTCGAACTACTGGTCCACGAGTACATTTCCAACATATTAATTAACATTATTATAACAAGAACTTAAAATTTTAAGATTTTAGTGATTTAGAATCCAATTTTACGTTACTTTCAGTATGATTAAAAATGAATGTGAACAAATGCGTAAATGGAACTAATTAATTTACATAATATATGAATATAATATATACATATTATTAAATATAAATTTTATTATAATATTGAAGGTACAGATCGGATTAACTTTTTTATGTACTTATTGGAAGATAAATGCCAATCAGTAACACATTTTTGCAATAAAGATTGGGTGATTTTTGATTGGGAATAAAAATAGTGGACCTTTTATTGGGTGTACATTGATTCTTGAACAGTTCTGCTTCTCCGCAGTTCAAATGAGTTAAGTTTAAAAAAAAAACATATTGACCAATGAGCATTTACTGTTTGTGATGAAGATAGTTTTTAGTAATTTATTTAAGGTTGCAAGCTTCAGCAAAATCGAAGCGCCATGAGTTTTTAAACGGAAACTTTTAGTAAGCAACATAGAAGTTTATAATTATTTCCATACAAATGTATGTATTTTTTCTGTATGTGTCAATGAAAAATTTAATAAAGAGCAGATGATCATTTTTCATTTGCCAGTTTTGTCCCATTTTAAAAGCATTTGTAATTTGTTTATTTGAAATTTAAGACAAAAGTAATTTATCTTTTGTAATTTGTTGATTTTTAGTTTAAGATAAAAATAATTAATTTATTGGCTTATTCA